CCCCAAAACCCCAAAACCCCAAAACCCCAAAACCCCAATATATACTGATAATATTGATTCCGGCGAATTTTTAATCAGAATCTCTTTTTTAATAATAAACTGCTCAAAATCCCGATATGTTCCAAATTCTCTTAATTCAATGCTTTTACATTTTTATGTTTTTCAATTTAAAACCAGGGCTCGAAGAAAGATCTCGAACGATTTGTATCTCAATTCTAAGCAGATATACACATTAAGAGTTATTAGAGATATGCAAATGTTAAAACTGAATAAAAGATTCCTCATTTGGGAAATTTTTATTGAGAAGTCATTACGAGAAGTCTTAAGATAGAGAATGAAAATTCACTAATATTGGAATATTTAATGGTTTTGAAGATGAATAACTTACTCGTCAAAATCCAATTTCAATTTTACACAATTGTGTTCTTTTAAAAAAAGTGCTTATAGACTCTTTCTCCTCAGCAGTTTTACTAAGTCCTTCAATAAATTATTAATTTCCCTATAATATTCAGAAACTAACAACATAATAATTAAGATGAAAAAGTATGTCTACTTGAGTGGAAGTAGGTATCTTCTAATAAAGTCACAACGTTGCTCTTAAACCATTTAAAACTAAAAATATTGTGAACTCTAGACTCTCAAGGGCTTTGGCCCTATTGAAAAGGTCATAAATCGATCTATTAAGCAACTAAATTTAAAGAACTTGAAAATACAATTTATTTTTAGTGATGTTGAACAAGGAAATCCTCTGTACTCAGAGCAAGGCTTATACTGAGAGAAATTATTTTGTAGAGTAGTTGAATTGTAACTAAGACTTCAAAAACAACCTAAATTAGCATTTGGAAACCTAATTTACAGAGATTGACCTCAACTTTTTATTAGTAGTTTCAATGGCTACATTCATGAATTTTTTGAAAAGAAACAAACCAAAGATATCCTAGATGCACTTTGGTGGTTGACTCTTCATTATATGATTAATATACGGATTCATGTTCAAAGAATTCATCAGGCTTGTAAATATATGAAATAATGAACTATTTTGTTCCTATTTTCAGCTCAGATAACTGCAAAACTAAAATTTTGAGCCATCAAACTCTCGCAGAACAAAGAAGAATTAGTACAGCTAATTTATTAACAGCTCTCTAAATTAGCACTCAATATGTTCTAGGTAGCATTTCTGAGCTGAATATGTGAGATAAAGACTCCCAAGTTAGTTACATTCAAGATTTAAACTATGATAATATTAAATTTAATTCATTCGTAACTGTTTTAAAATTATTTTCTTTTTGATAAGAACATTTTAGATTTTGCTTTGTCAGAATACTTGTCCTTTATGTTAAGCGCTTTCCTTGATTTATACTCAGTTTTCTCTTCTGGAAACCCATAATACAGTTCTGGATCGTATTGGAATAAATTTGAATCTACTTAAAGAGAATTAGATTTAGTAAAACTATTATTATTGTCACATGAAATGATGAAAATACAAACATCTAAAATATTCACCTCAATATGTCTTCCAGCTTTTAGTCTTCTCCATATCGTTAGAAATAGTTTTTGCGTCGCTAGTTCTCCCTGACATGCGGTATGTATTCCTGCAAGGGTCTGCTCTATTGATTCTATTCTTGTACTTATGATTGTCCATTTTGATATCTTCACCTGTTAGCGTTCTCTCTCAGCACCCTCCCATTTAATTAATATTTATTATTAAATCTTAGAGATTTGGGGTTTTGGGGTTTTGGGGTTTTGGGG